AGTTTTAAAACTTTAAATATCTAAGGAAACCATCAAGCGTTGCCATTGTCACAGTTATTGTCTCTAAACACTGTTGGATGGCAACGTCCATCAGCCCTAGTCAGCAAAGCCAGTTGTGGGGGATTATGGGAGTTGTCGGTCAACCAGTAAGGAGCACACTTTTCCTAGAGCAAGTAAGCAAGTTCCTTCACACTCACTATACCCTTTTCAGGTATTCTATTTTCTAGAGCAGGGTTAGTTGACATTCCTTGCATTCTGAAGCAATGGACCTCCTGCCTCTGGGTGGATTTTATATGATGTTCTGCAACACGAGGAAACAAATGAATGAATCCAACCCTTGATTGCCTCACCTCCTCTTCAGTTTGCATGAGTCACGAAGCACCAACAAAATAGAGTATTGTGCACCTGCTGGCTAAGATCTGCTTTACCCCTAATTTAGGACTGTTCTAATCACCTTCTGAACACTCAGTTGCACTTGCAGCAAATTTCAGGAGAATAGGCTTTCCAAGAGGTCATCCTTGTACTGAGTACAGTAAGTCATGCCATGTGAATATTGAAACATCAGATGCACCCAAGACACCTGGCTGTAGGGAGAAGGGGGATTAAAAAAGATCTGGAGTTCATGGAATCATAGAAAATTAGAAAGGGGCCATGAAGGCCATCGGGTCCAACCCCCCTGCTGTTGCAGGACACCAAGTTACACCATCCCACTCAGATGGCTGTTGAATTTCTTTTTGAATGTCTCCAGTGTGGCAGAACCCACAACCTCTCTAGGCAGCTGGTTCCACTGTTGTATTGCTCTGACAGTAAGGAAACCTTTCCTGATAGCTACCCTAAATCTGGGTTGTCCCAACTTGGACTGATTATTCTGTGTCCTACACTTTGGTATCAGAGAGAAGAGATCTTGACATTCTTCTTTGTGACAGCCTTTGGCACACTTATAGGGTTACCCTAAACAGCCTTTGAGGTACTTATAGGTCACCCTAAACCCAGACAGAAAGTCTCATTAGACATAGGAACATCATTCCAGGATAAGGTGTTGGATCCCTTTGCATGAGAAATCTGGATAAATGTACAAACACACTGCATAAAGCGGGTCCAGGTGTTGTTACTGCCTATAGGATGCCTGCATGAAGGCTTTCCCTTGAAGTGTAAGTAGCCCAAAGTCCAGGTGAAGGATTCTGTGATTAAGATAAACTTCTTTCTCACTTTCTTACTTGATAACCAAGGTTTCATATCTGGCTTCCATAATCAGTAATTACATGCCTTGTCTATGTAACAGTCCCAGTGAATGCATTACTGATTGCAATGCAGATTCTCTCATATTTATGTTTCCACCAATCTTTTTTTTAATGGCATGCAGTACACATCTCCTTGTTTTGCAGCTTGCTGCCTAGTATGATAGGTGTATTTGCATGCTGGCTTCCCCATTGTATTTTTAATCTGCCCTCTAACAAGAGTCTGGAAGGGAGCCATCTTTGCCATCATCTGATGAATCAGATGATGAATCAAACATCAAGAAATCATTAGGAATACTGTATTCTTTCTGAGAATTTTTTAGTTTTCATTGCTATGAAATCACTACCATTCAAGTTCACATGTAAAAGGAAATAAATCTTTCTTCCTGAATATGTCTTCTCTCACATCCTTAGATAGATGATCAGTCAAACAGTATAATTTTCTAGGAAATGGTAAAAGTTTAAATTTACTACATCGAGCTCCAAACTCCTTTCCCATTTCTCATAAACAGGATTAAGCCCTGACTTAATAGTTGGATCATTCCAGTTTTTGATTATCTAGTTGATGCACTAGAAAAATCGTAGACTTAGTCATACTTTGAATAGATCAATTCAAAATCAATGGACGAGTTAGTCATGCCTAACTTTAGTCCTATGGATTTCATTAGGTCTGCTCTGAGCATGTCAAGGTCTGACTCTATCTGGGTGGAAATTAGATTCTTCTGGAATCATTTCTGGTCCACTTGCAAAAGACAAGAGTAGAGAGGCTACTTCTTGTGGAGGTAAAGGACTGGAGGCATTACCATCCACCTAAGGCTGCTCCATCCAAATTGTTTACATATATATGATATACACAGAATTGTTGGTTAATGCAGTATTTTTCATTAGCACTTCTTGTTCCCTTCCGTAAAGTACCAGGTTAGTCCAGTATTACCTATCTATCTATCTATCTATCTATCTATCTAGTATTAAATTTCTATCCCACCCCTTTTCTTTCAAAGAATTCAAAGCAGCTTACATCATTCTCTTCCTGCTGTTCCCAATCTTATCCCCACAACAACAACCCTGTGAGGTAGGTTGGGCTGAAAGTCTGTGACTGGCCCAAAGTCACCCAGCTGGCTTCATGACAGAGTGGGGACTAGAACCTGGATTGCTTGTACTGTGCTCTTAACCACTACACCACGCTGGCTCTCAGCAGAACAACAAAATATGGGGGAATCTTTCAGTTTTGGTTTCTCTTTCCTCTGATTTATTCTTTATGTATACCTTTTGTTCTTTCTCTTACACATATGAAAATATTTGAAAATTTTCACAAATACCTCTCAGAAATGAACTGAAACAAAACCCATGGTAAAAGTTCTTACCATGAAGAGGACCACAGTGTACTTCCCTGTCATATAGCTGTTAAATATGAGGAATCTGCCGGAAAAAGGGGTGTATACCCTAATTAACAAGGTTGAATACACAGTAGCTCAAAGCCAGGAATTTAAGAACTTAAGCACTCAAAGCCTTGGGCCTGAATGGATAATCTTTCAGATTTGGTTTTTTCCACATGCAATTTTATATACGTATTCTTGTCTGGATAGGGAGAACTTTGTAAATTATGATAAATTCTTATCAAAACGAACAGAACCTAACTTGTCACCCTTAACAACAATGCCTTATCACAGCTCAGCGGCAGAAATCTTTCAGACATTCGATGTTTCTGTTGGAAGCGTGTCACTTGGTTGGCAGTCGAGCGGCAAGCTGGCTCCTAGACCATTCCAGCAGCAGGCCCTGCTCCTCCAGGCAGACAGATGTGTTGGATTACGCAGTAGCATGCAATGTCTTCTAATCCTTTTGTATTAGAGAGGCAGAGTGTGCCACGCTCTCATAACATTGCGGAGGCATGTGTGTCAGCCTGTAACAGATCGATGGAAATTCCTTCTCCTGCTGGAGCTGACAGCGATGCAGAGGTGGTCCTCGGGGGAGCCCATGAGAGCCCCTGCGGCCCCGCTCTTTGTTCAGAGCCCCGGCTCTCAGGAGGCTCTCATCTGCCCCACCACCCTGCTGTTTACAGACATCCACTGAAAGACAGCTTCAGGAGCCCCAGTGCTCTCTGTTTCATCTGATCTCCCCTTGGATTAACTGGCTTTTTGTCCACGTGAACTGCACCTCTATTCTTCCCCTTTTCAATCTTTCTGAGTTTTTTTTCCCTGAAAGTAAATGCCCTCCACACACCCCTTTTTTCACATATGAGTCCCTTTAGGAGAAAGAATCTTTTGAAGATGTACAAAAATTCACAGAGAGGCTTTAGAGAATATGCAAATGAGCATCTACAAATTTGTAGGGGGTTTTGTTCCTGTGGGCCTGAACGCCATGTCTTCTGGCCACCTAGCGCCACCCCTGCAGCAATGTCCTAATGTCAACTGAATGTGCTGGCATCGCCTTTCTATTCCACAGGACTGGGGGCAAGATGGACAGGATAGTTCAGGTAGTTGGGCCAACATACAAACAGCGGGTTCATCCCCTCTCCAGGCGCTTCTTACTTTAGACTCATCCCACTTCTTATTTCTCTCCTTCATTTCGACAAAATCCCCAAAGAATCTCCCCAGCTTATTCATCCTCTGTTGTGAAATCCACCATTCCTGCTTGATGCCCTGGATTTAGAATAGGAGTCCTGAACTGAATTCTGCACCAGCCCTCCTTGCTTCTGTTTCCCTGTGAGTAAATGAAGGTAATGGCAAGCAGCCCACTCCACAGACTTAAGGTCATGGTGCAAACAGATGCATTTCTGCCTTGTCAGAACTCTAGGGCTACATGCATATGTTAATTGCTGCTTTAAAATGTTTACCTTTGTCTTCATTCTGAATTTTAATCTGAATTCCACAAATGGCCTTTGCATCATTGTCAAGGCTTTTCTGTTGCTAAAGGGTTGTTTATATTATGCCATTTCTGCACCATTTCTTTCAATAGTAGGATAGAAGCATGTTTTGAGTGGTGGTGGAACTGGACCAGCTACAAGGATTGGATGATAATTACAGGGGAAGCTTACACCCAAGTTTAAGCCCTTGAAAAAAGTTAATATTTTTGTAGATGAATAGCGATCGCAAAGTTCTTCTAACTGGTGTATTTTCTAGAGAGAAAAGAAGAATGTGTGTGAGCAACCTGTTGTGCAAGTCAATGAAGTGCATCCAGCAATGATTGACAAAATACTTGGAAAACACATTACACCTGTCACCTTGAAATCAACCATCAAAAGCAATCCTCTGTACAGTGATGGCTGCACTGATGATACCTGGGAGGAAAGGAAAAACAAGCCATCTTGGACCATTCAGGACTATGACCAGCATTCCCTGAGCTCTGGCCTGGCTCACTTTCTAAAGGTACGATCCCACAAAATTACACTTTTCTTAAAGGAACTGCAATATTGCATGTGTGTCCAAGATACTGGCCAACTGAATCTCTGGAGAAAAACAAGTAGAGGACAAGAATTTCAGAGTAAAAGAAATAAAGTCAGAGGATGGATCTGGGAATACTGATGGCCAAGTGGGATAAGAGTTGTAATGCAAAATTCCAGGAAGGCAGCAGTTTGGGGCAGTTCTGTAGTCATATAAACATATATAAATAAGGGACAAATGGTAACAGATGCCCGTGAAATTTGGCTGTTCTGTTCCCAGATTTGGGGCATTGGGTGATTCTAGGCCCATGACAGTCTGTCAATCAAATATCTAGAGGTCTGAAATGGCTCAGAAATGGGCCGATGTTCTTCACACTCAGCAAAAGGGCGGAGGGGCCTTTCAAGATTTCTGAATTGTCCTGCGATTCCTCGGCAGCTCCTGCCTTGAGTGGGAAGGAAGGCAAAAAGAATTTTTCAGTGGCAATGTTCCATCCTTGGAATGCTTTCCCTCATGGAGGCTTACCTGGTTCTAGTTATTCTTTCCATGTTCTGCAAACACATTTTCACTGCTCAGGCCTTTGTGATGACACCGAGTGTTTCTTCACATAAGTTGTGCTTCCCTGCTCTTTCAGTGCTTTTCTTATCGGACTTGTATCATAACCTCTTACTCCATGAATTGAAGGAGTTTTCATTGTCAGAAGAAGAACTACTCAGGGAAGCTGTCCTTCTATGAATGGAAGGAGCTTCTGTTCATGAGGCAGGAAGTTAGGATCCAAGGCGATGCAATTTGTTTTGTTCTGTTCTTCTGTTAATTATTGTGGGCATCTGGATTAAAGATTAGACTCTGAAAGTGAGTACATAACACAGAATCTGCTGTGTGTCTCATGCTACTTTCGACTCACTAGCCCTCATGCTCATACATAAAAGCAAGAGGTACCAAAAGGGTCTGCTATGTGGCAGATGCATACATGCAAGTGAATAGTATCTAGATTGGCTGTGACTCAGCCACACTGGCCAAATTATCAGGTATGGCTGCCTGAGGCAAAGGACAAGAGGAAACCCCCTCCCTATCCTGTATATCATAGAAGTAGCCTGAACTCAAAACTTTCCTCAGCACTGAGGATGGACTGGTGCCTTCCACCTAGGATGATACTAACTTGGGGAGCCCAGGACAGGCTGTGTTGCGTTCTCATCTCTGTCTTCCAGCAGAAGGGGAGGGCTGAGCAGTTCAGGAGATCACCTCACTTTGCCTCATGGTAGAACCGGCCCTGCGAATGACCATCAATTCTCTGTATTTTGCTGTCTAAACACAAGAAAGCATCCCGTTAATTTTCTTGTAGGAAAATCCTGATGACATACAGTATTGGATGGAAGATATTTACACACCAGGATATGACACCCTGTTGAAAAAGAAAGAGAGAGAAAGAAAATGTTCCAGATGTTGTCTCATTGCGTTGTTCCTGGTATTGCTGGTTTGTTTCATGACAGCTACAGTGACTGTTTGCCTTCTATTTACCTGAGACAGCCAAATTCAGTCAATAAAAGTTTTTGAATAATACTTATCTTTGTAATGTTATATGGAAATTTAAATGTTATTATTACTATGTGTTGGATCCAAATTTATTTGGTTCCCACTGAGACCAATAAAACAAGTTGGCCATGATTTAACTGCAATTCAGTTGTATTCAATGGGATTTAATTGCAACTAGCTTACACCTGGATCTTGTTTTATGGTTGGTTTTTCATCAAGGGGCTAAAAACATTCCACAGTACATTCAGGTGCTCCCTGAAAGCTATAAGCTTCCCAGCACTGCAATCCATATCTGACATCACAACAGCAAGTATCTCCTGAGAGTGATGGCTCCGAGATTAAAGCCTGCACAAACAGCTTTCTTATTGAATCCATCTAGAGCATGTTACTCAAAGAATGACTCATTCTGCTCAGTGGCAGCTTGGAACGGGGCCAACGCTGTGGTGATAAATGCCAGTCTGTCATGTGCCTCTAAGTGTGTTCTAAGATACATTTGCACACAAATCCTCAGAAACATGAAGAGCTTTGCATTAAGAATGTAAGAAGAACCTCACTGGCTCAGACATGTAGTCCACCCATTACAGGGATGAGCATTTTGTTGTTGTTGTTGTTGAGGGTCCCGTTCCCTTGTGTGTAATTTGGGGGACCCACCACTGGATAGGGGACACATGACAACAGTTGGATTGGACTAAAGCCATTGGTGGATGGGGCCAGAGGCCAAAGTAGGTGGGTCACCACTTTTCTCCTTCTGGCATGCCTTTCTCTTGTTTCCTCTCACCCAGCCAGATTCCAGGAAAAGACTGCTGGATGGTTTTGTCAGAGGGCTGAACTGATTATAGGCCTAGGGTTACAGGCCCTAAGGACTGTAGCTTGTCTACTCCTGTGTTGTGCATTTCTTTAATCCCACCGAAGCCTGTGTATAACAGCACTTCTTGTGACAATGAGCTCCACAGTTCCTGGGAAGACATGCTTCAATTTTATCGGACAGCCCCAGGTTCAGGTACTAGGGTGGGAAGGGAGAAAAATGACCAATCACTTCCAAAGCATAATAATAATATTATTATTATAATGCTTTCTAAGCCATCCTGAGACATTTAGTGAAAGACGGGATAGAAATGTTTCATTAAATATTTATCACATTTTATAAACCTCTATTATCCTGCTATCCTTTTTGTTGTAAGCCGCCCCGAGGCTTCGGCGAATGGGGCGGCATAAAAATGTTTTAATAAATAAATAAAATAAATAAATCCTTTTCTCTTTGTTCCTCCAAAACTGAAGCCCTTCATGGGGTTAAGTGTGTTCTTCCAGAAGTTGCTGAACTGCAACTCTCATTATCATTCACCATTGGCTGTGCTGTCTAGGACCGATAGGAGTTGCAGTCCAACATCTGGAGGGCCATATGTTCCCCATGCCTGCATTAATGCTTAGGACTTTCCTTATCAGTAAAGGGCTTCAGTTCCTTGATCACTCCAATGGCCTTTTTCTGCCCCTTTTTCATTTAAGATGGGAAACAAATCTATACAAGATTGTGACCTTCTTTGTGTGTTGCTGTATGGCTCTAAGATGTATGTAGTGGCTTTAAGATGGGGATTTCAAGGGGAAGCAAGTTCAAGCAGTTGGTTCTGGTGAGTCGATTCTGTGATCTGGGCTGGAGCGGAAGATGGCCATGGCTCATGGGCAGGCAGGAGACCAGCATTCGCTCCACATCTTTGCAATGACAGTTGCAGCTGACCTGGTTTCTTTTGAGTTTTGCAAGTTTTTCTGCACACATGTTGCCCTTCAGCACCCCTTTAAGGGGCTGCCCTCTGTCACATTTTGTGCTGTGTTAAAACACCACAAAATGTGGCAGAATGGTCAGATTATTTAACTTTGCTTACACAAAACTGGCACATTTGTTTAAGGAAAATTTTGGTAGGGTCTCAGTTTGTTATATCACATTCCAGATTCATTATCCTTTAGCCAACTCCATCAAGGCTTCTGGGAACATCCATCCACAAAATTTGTTCCTCACTATAGGCTGATGTATTGAAAAGAACAGGAAAAAAATGTGGAACAGAAATTTGAATTCCACAGCAGAAACTGGAACAGAACAGCTCTGAAGTCGTGCAAGAATAATGTATGCTTAAATAAAATGTCTAGTGTTAAACAGCTAATAGGGACCACTATTCTATACAGTGGCAAGGAAAGCAGGTCACAGACCATGAGCTTATACACTCCACTGCAATGTCTCATGGAATTTTAGGCGGTAAATATTTCACACTATGGAGCAATAATTTGCACTAAAAATAACTGTTTAACTGGTTTTCCCCTTCAGCCTTGGTACATTTAAGTGGACTGCAAGCAACATAAAAAGAAATGTATTTGTATACATTACTGAGGTTGGTGGGTGGGGACCTAAAAGCAAAAGTTCTGTAGTTTCCAGGAAAGCAGCCAATAATGAGCATTTCTTAACAGAGCTTCTTTCTGTGTTTGACAGTAGGGATAAAATCATTTTCGTCTTTAAGGCCATTATTGGCAAATCTGAAGTGGTTTGTGCTGGTGCCATCTAGCGGGAAATGGGGAAAGATTTCATCATTGTCGTCATCATCATCATCATCACCATAATCTCTCCCCCTCCTCAGCCATATTTTTTTCTCTTAATTTAATAGGTATTACACTCCTGCCACCTAGTGACTCTGTTGAGTTTGCAATATGATATTCTCTCAGACTGTTGTATTCTTTTGTAAACGTTTAATACAAGAAAGATCTAAGTTCATGTATTTCACTGCAAGTCATGGGGACCACTGGTGGCTCCCCACCCCTTCAAGAGTAAATCCTTCTTACTCCCTTTCAGTGACTGGTTTTGCAAAATCAAATGCAGTACACAAGCTGCAGTCATTTGTTAACAGTGCTGTGTGTACCAGTTGCATCCTGGGGAGGAGGGAGGGATTGGTGTATAATGACCCTCGGCACTGCGATGCAATGTGATTCTGGTCAGGGTGGCCTGTTGCTGTAACAAGCTACCCATTACCTTGCAATAGGCCCTGGATTCTGGGTGGCTTGTTACCTGTGGTTTATCCACTCTAGCCAATCCTGCGAACGAGGCCTTTGCAGTAGCTGCTCACTTTTGGCAGGGTCTCGCTGGCTTTGGGTTATTGCTTGCTTCTGCAGTGGGCCAGCTGTTGAGATCTGTCCCTTTGGAAGAAGCTTTATGGGTGATTAAGATTCCTTCTGTTTGTTAGCTGTAAGATGGGTTAGTAGAAAGAACCAGAATACAGAAGCAAACTACAAATTGCTGTGCTAGAGAAGGACCCAAAAGGACATGAAGGGCTAGATGGAGTGGTTTGTTCTGCAGGTATTATATGGTGGTGGAGGAAAATGAATCCATAGACAAGCATGGGAGCAATATGGATCTACATTTGGGGATTGTGCAACACTGAGGGGAACAGAGCCGTCAGTGACAAGTAAAAGATCCACCCCTTTCCAAAGACCAGCTGAACCTGTCAGAGTTTGCCTGTGTGGTGACCAACAGATAAAGCCTTGGACAGTGTGGAGGAGGGTTCACAATATCCACCTGGTTCGATCAACAGCATCTAGAACCAACGACAAATCCAAATGCAGCTATGGCCAATGGGATGGTCTGAAAGAAGAACCCTGTGGCTTCCACTGAGAGTCGACTGGCTAGAGAGCCATTCACACCCATACAGAAGCAGGCCAAAGGCAGCGGTGGGCACCTCAACTGCCACGTGCAAACCTACTCACCTTTGGTGAGGGCAGGTTGGGCTGCCCTCCCTGATGCTGTGTGTCCCATGAATTTGTAACTGTAAGCACACTGTATCAGGTCCTTCTATCAGACTATTTAAGAGGGTGTGCCTTACTGCTGAACTGTTATGTCGTGTTGTGTGGATATTACATAACATTTCCAACCCCCAGTCATGCTAAAGAGTGACATGTGTTATCTCATAGTTCCTGAGGCCGTGGATGTTTTGACTGGGCTAAATCTGAGACTCAGTCCAAATAAAACAGGTTAATCCACCCAAATGAGTAACAATTAGCACAGAGCCTGTCTTTGTAGGCTCTAGGCACTTTCATAATTGTTGGCCCTTACCTTAGATCTATAAATAAATCCTTGCACTATATAGGTGCTGTAATCATAGAACAATATACAAGGCTGTGTGCTACCTTGAGTTACTAACATCAAAAATATTCACAGGGAACTGCAAAACAGTAGCCCAGAGCCTACACATAATCCCCCAAATTCCTGTCTTTTCATTTAAACCCACCAGGACTTTTCTGTGCTTTCCCTACCCTGGGCTGTTGCCACCCAATGCTCTTACCATTAGCCGGGCTAATGGGAAACATGTCTATGGGGGACACAGAAGTCCTGTGTCTGGCGGGATAGTTTTCTTTTTCTATCATTTTTGAAAGTTTGGAATAGTGACTAGTTAGGACAGGACATATGGCTACACCCACCCTTAACAATCAAAAGGCTAATTCTGAAAGCCTTCTCTAACTACTAGTTGGTGGGAATCCTGTTGCAAAAAAAACCACTCTCATACTGTACAGGTACACTGAGACTAAATAGCACAAACTGAGGACCTGTTTGTTTGTCTGCTTGTTTTAATTAAGTTGGGATGAATGTACCCACTTGGGTTTAAGGGCCGGTGACAAATCGCAGACACAAGCCTATCTTGTGACAGGCACATCTCATATGTATCAATGAGGTGAGTTGACAGCAAGCAACAGGGAACATCTGTCACACTCAGTAAAAGGCATTATTTTGTATTCTTGTGGATAGGTTTACAATCATTGATCCTGAACTGCCACAGGGGCATGGATGGACACCTATCCATTAGATTTCGAACAGATATGCCTCTTGTTCTCATGGATATAGGTATGTGGTCAGGAAATCATGGGTAGAAATGATTATTGAATGAATGATAGACAAGTTGGTGGCAAGTTTTCCAAACGTGAGCATTGCTTTGAGAATGTATCTTTCGCATTTTTGTGATGGGAATGCTCTTTTTCAGGGCTGAAGCATATAATGAGCTCTCTTAGGTCAACCATGTGACAAAAACAACTATCTTCAGTTGCACTACACTCAGACAAAATAAGCTTTTGCAGTCAATGAACTTTGAAGATATAGTTTGTGAGGGTGCTAAGATAAATGAGCTGTAAAGCTAATACTTCATTTATATGAAGCATTTTACATCTGTATGAGTACATTGCTAAATCAAGCAATAATTTTCTTTAATTGAGAGGACCTTTTTGTAAACCCCAAGCTTTTTTGCAGGCCCTTGAGAGTTTTGCAGCACAAGGTACTCTGCCTAATAGCTAATTTAGGGGTTGCTTAAGTGACCTCTGTGCCTCAAAGCAGCTTTCACCAGCTTCAGTTGATAAGCTTGCTGAATCCACAGAATCCATTGGGGTTGTTTAAGTGACCTCTGTGGCTTGCAGCAGTTTCAGTTGCTTCAGTTGCTTTCATCAGCTTCAGTTGATAAGCTTGCAGTGATGGAGATAGCTGGGCTACAGTTGCCTATGCTCTGATAACATCCTGTTCGGATAACAGTCATACATCATATGTGAGACTGCCTTGCAGGGAAGTCCAGCAACTTCCCTTGGTTCAAAACAGGATCCCAAGATTTCCACCTGAAGTTGGCATTTTCATCATATTATGCCGGAGCTTTGTTGGTTGCACTGAGTTCCAATCTAGTTCTATTCTAGTCTTAATCTTTAAATCCCTAAACAGCTTGGGATCAGCTTACTTGAAAGCTCACCTTCTACTGCGTACTGATACAGATGTTAGGTATTGATACAGATGTAGGCAATCCTCTACCTTGCTCCATGCGTCCCTTGCAAGGGAAGTGAAACTGCATGCCACCAGCAGGAGGGCCTTCTTGTTAGCGGCACCTCTGTTGTGAGTCACTTGGTGCTCGGTAAAGACCTTTTTATGGACCTCAGGTTGTTACACTGTGACTTTAAAATACCCAAAGGGCAGTTCATAACAATTCATAAGCATAGGTATGACAGCAGAAATAGATGAGAGTACAAATTCAGTAACATGCAGCATAAATTCCAATATACAAGATTTAAAACAGCTTAAAAATTCCCATAAATAACTAGAGCTGTTAAAAGAGTTGACATGTCCCATAACATGCCATTAAATGTCTGGGGAAAGGGGCACTCTTAACCTGGTACCCAAAGATGACAGTGCTGGTATAAAGCGGGTCTTGGTGGAGAGAACATTCCATAATGGTGTTACTTGTAAGCTGCCTAGGAAGGCCTTTGGCAGTTATAGGTGGCACAGAAATATGTGAATAAATAAAGAATGGGGTGTGGAGGGGGTCACCACTGAGAAGGCTTTTCTCCTGGTTGTCTTCTTTAGGACTTCCTTTGGAGGAGATAGCTGGTGGATAACCTCATAAGCAGAGTAGTAGATTGAGGCTGGGAAAGGTCTCTATTGGGTGTTATGGGGCCAAGCCATATAGAGCTTTATAGATTAGAATCAGCACCTTCAGTTGGGCCAAAAGCATAAAGGCAGGTAGGCTGCCCGAATTGGGTCTTTTATATTCAGAACTGTTGGACCAGTTACTAATCTGGTTGCTGTACAAGCTGTAGCTTCTAAACAGTCTTTGAGGACAGCTTCACAT